GGTGTGAGGCCCCCTAGGACTTGAGCTGCAGACAATTGTGAGGCATCATGTGGAGCTGAGAATTGAACCTAGGTCCTCTGGAAGAACGGCCAGTGCTTTTAACTGCTGAGCCATCTTTCCAGGTCTACTACTTATTACTTCTTCCTGTGTTTTCTGTCTCTTATCCATATACCCTTCTAGTTTTAATTTTTAATTATAAATTTCCATAAATTTAATAATTTTTAAAATCTGTGGAACATAACAGTATCCCAACGTTCCTCTCCCAGTTACATTATCACTTCAATTGTTTGCTTTTCAAAGCTTATCTGATTCTTAATTACTTCTTTCCCTCATCTTCTGCCTCCCACCTCTAACCTTATTACTTAAAATCTGAGCATAAATCACATTATTCTTGTTTGTTTGTCTTCCAACAGTTACTGTAGGAACTAAAGTTGTTACCTTGCTAGTACAACATTCACATAGCATGGCCACCTTCACAACTAACACCCTACTCAGGAAACAAATATGGAGTCTACATTAAGCACTCAGCGCTTCCAGATCAAGAAACTATTTTCTGAACTACATACCCCAACTCTACCATATTCAAGTACCATTTTCACACTGCAAATACTTGACTGAAAGACAATAGCTGATTAAAAAGTAAATCAAGCAAATAAATAACACTAGAATTGTCTTTCTTATTCCTTACAAGCTTAGGGATGCAGCCTGAGAGTGAGTAATCACCTTTAGTCATTTTCCCTGAGTTCTACTGGCCCCTTTTCCTACATAGTTTTTCAGTAGACTAAAACAGGAAAAATTATCATCATAGCATGTAGTACATTATGACTGACCCTAGTACCAAGAACCTGCTTAGCAATTTTAATGTTAGTTTAAGATAAATCAGATATGTTGCACCTTGGATGAAAGTCACTTTGCCCTGACCATAGATAACCCCCCTCCCTCTAAGTCCTACCAATCTTGTCACCACCCTTTACCATCTCTCTCAGGGAAAGTCACTAGTAAGCCTCACTGTGCATGGCCCCAGATCTGTCTGCTGCTGCTTCAGTCTAATGGCACCTTGAAGTCTTTTACATAAATTTTTTCCAGAAACAAAGCTTAAGTAAGAATGATATTATAAACAATAATGACTACTCTTCAAATCAAGGGTAGATCACCTCTCTCCAAAGAGGTAATGGCCAGGCCCAACACTAGTTTATTGAGCAAACTTGGAAATAAAAGGCCCCTTTACTTTCCACACTTCTGACTCAAGTTATGAAATGTATGAAGAACTAACAGTTGAGAAATACTTAGTTGAGTATTTGGGAAACAAGTGTTTTACATTCGAATAGATTCCAGTGGATACTTGCTATTGCCTCACCTGTCCTAGCATTCAGTTACAAAGAAAATCATTCAAATTTCTTATTTCCCTTTTCAACTGAGAAGATTACTTAGGAATTCAAGTGCCCCAAACTTACAGAGTGGAAGGAAAAAAAAAAGGAATTACCCCCACCCCTACCGTGTGTGTGTGTGTATTTGTTCATGTATAAAGGGTGCACATGAGTGCATGTGGAGGCCTGAGGTTGATATCTGGTCTCTTTCTTCATGGAGGTAGAGTCCCAGCTGAGCTCAGAACTTGCTGACTAGACTAGTCTAGCTAGCCATCTTGCTCTGGAGATCCTGTCTTCACCTTTGGAGGGCTGGAATTACAGGCTCACATCCATGCCAACCTTGTATTTATGTGAGCTATGGGGGATCTGAACTCAGTCAGGTCCTCATGCTTGTATGGTAAGTTCTTTATCCATGGAGCCATCTCCTCAGCCCAAGAATGTTTTTTGATCTTCTGAAAGCCACAAGATGAAGGGGTAGACAATACAAGAACAGCAGACTTCAGAGGGACTGGTCCATTCATTTGATGGACCCAGATCACTTAAATGTTGCTCAATAGCCATCCCATATTTCCCACTAAACTGATGTAATCAACGATTTTGAAGTCTTCCTTAAACATCAGGAGAGTAGAGGTCTACTCTGGCTCAGTACCAATTTGTTTGTGAGATTGTTAACATGGTACTATGTCAGCTCTCACTCTTCCCAGTAAGTTGGCAGAGTTAAATGATGTGGTTTCAAGCCTTATTTTTCTTTTCTTATTTTCATTTTTGAACAGAATTCAATATGGCTGCTCCTAGGGCTGAGAGGAATTTCTTCTGATAGAAAACCAACATCCCCTTATTAGCCATATCAGCTCTGAACATGACTGTGGAGGCTTTGGGAGCTCAGCATTCTGAGCCCTGGAGATTTCTTCTCACAACTCTTCAAACTTGAGACTCAGATGCATCTTGGGGTGGGGAGTGGGGCTTGTTAATTACACACTGTAGGGACCACCAATCTTTGATGCAGTAAGTCTGGGCATGGCCTGGGAATGTGTACTCCCCCCAACAAATAGAGGAGATGCCAAATCGCTATTTGGGGGGGGGGGGCTTGGACACCCAGAGATGCAAGTGCTTCTCAGCTTACTCAAACTATACTCACATGGACAGAAGGAGATGCTGCTGCCCTGGAACTAGAGCTAGCAGGATATTTGAATGTCACATCAATTCTCCCCCAACCCTGTTTTTGGTTATTATTGTTATTTTAGCAAAGGAACCTATTCAGTTTTGCAGTGTTATTATTTATGCCTCTCTCTCTCTTGGCCCTCCATCCCATCCCCACTCTGTCTCTGTTTCTGTCTCTGTCTGTCTGTCTGTCTCTCTCTCTCTTTGTGTAGGTCAGAGGACAACTTTTGGCAGTCAGTTCTTTCCTTCTACCATGTGGATTCTGGAGAAGCACTTTTACTTGCTGAGCCATCTTGCCCATCTCAGTTTTGCTTTTTAAAAACTTGAAATCCAGCTGGGCATGGGTGGCACACCTTTAATCCCAGCACTTGGGAGGCAGCAGCAAGCAGACCTTTGCAAGTTCAAGGCCAGCCTGATCTACAAGGCAAGTCCAGGACAGCCTGAGCTATTACACACAGAAAACGTTTCTCAAAAAAACAAACCAAACCAAACCAAACCAAAATTAAAACCCATAACTGGAGGGATGATTCAGTAGTTAAGAGCAAGTTTTGCAAAGGACTTGAATTTCGTCCCCAGCACCCACTTTGGCGGTCTCACAAGGGCCTGTAACTACAGCTCCAGATTATCTGACACCCTCTTCTGGCTTCTACAGACATTGTACTCACGTGTACAGACCCACAGAGACACATGAATACACATAATTTAAAAATGTTTTAAAACTGAATTCCTTTGAAGCACTTTAACATACAAAAGGCATGAAAGTGATCTGGGTTATTTATTACATAAATTCAAATATATAACAGACAAGAAAGCTTTATAGCAAATAAATGTTTAAACAGCAACTGCAGACAATAGTAAATTTTGGTTTGTATCAATGTCTTATACTTATGTGCTTTACACATATTAATTTATAAAGCCCACTGTTTCATGGCAAATAGTGTTATCCCTATTGTATTTATTTCACTAGCTACATGAGGGCATATGGTGATATGTTATAGAAATATGTTCTTAGACTATTTTGTCATTGTGTGAAATCACAGAATGTACTTATACAAGTTGAGATGGAATAACCTACCACAGGGCTAGGCTGTGTGATATGCACATACATACTATGGCTCCTAGAGCCATGATGGACAGAAAAACATGAGACTGCCTCAAACGCCATAGAAATGGTGCAGAGGCAAGAAGGTGAGCAGCAGCTGGCATACAGCTTTACACTGAACTTTTGTTTTCAGCAAGTAGGGATGCACTGTAGAACAGTGACTACATAATAACCCAGCAAACATACCTGGACAGTCATTTTCCTGTCCACATCCACAGCTATTGTACTCAGGTTTCTTAACACACCTGAGTTGGCCTCACTGCTTCCTTTATCTCATGACTTGCTGGGGTTTTTACCTTTGCTTTAGTTTTTCTTTTTCTTTTTCTTTTTTTTTTTTTCTCAAAATCTGTGATGTTAGTACCAGCACCCCTCCCATAAGTATTCTGATCTTATATAAGATATGTTTCAGTTAGGTGTATAATTTCAGATTTCAATTTTTTTCTGTAAAAAACTTTTAAGGGCATCAGTCTAAACATTGTTCTAAATTAATAACCTGAGCTGGACATGTAAAGCTTGTTACTGTTTCAAAATTCCTTTCTGTCTTTAATTTAAGACAGTCTACCAGAATTAGGAATATAGATACATAAAAGGTGAGTGTTAATTTCAAATAAGTCTTTCAGATCTGAGTCCTCAGTTTAAGGGCCTTTCTCTGGCATGCCAGAGGTGACCTGCATGGGCCACTACGCCCAGCTCCTCACTGCTTTTACGTTGTTTGTAATCAACATTGAATTTTATGCCTTTGTTCATCTTATTCACTTTTATGGTTGCTTTGTGCCACACAGCTCTAATTTCTCATTTCCAGCAGTAGTGCAAAGTCTTTTAAAATAAATGTGCTGCCTGTAACATGAACACTTCGAAGATGGTGCAAAGCTGTGTTAAAAGGCCTTGAGCGTGACACCAAATGGCTGTTCCCCGCAAGTGTAACTTTCTCTCAATCCGCAAGTTTCAAGAGTTCTGGACTGAGGAAAAGCTCTTTGCTTGGTGAATTTTACACCTTCGGGGTAAAATCCCAGTCTGAAACCCATCTTGCCTTCTCCTGTCTGGAGCTGGTGTGTGCTGCCAGGTTTGCTGGTCCCGCCCTCCTCAAAGCTCCTCTTCGGCTCAGAGCAGCAGACACCACCGAGACCGACTCCGCAATACATCTGCAGAGTCAGAGACTCTGGGACCGGGAACCACGAGTGACCCGGTTCCTACTCGGTGTCTGGCATTTCCGAGGCAGAATGAGTTCGCGGAATATCCACCCACCGCAGCCTCAAGTTCTTAGCACAGGTCTCGCTTTTGCAGCGCGCACATTCGCGCTTGCGCAGTCTTCTAACAAGTGCGCCTTCCGCGTCCAGTTGCCATAGAGACTGCAGTTTTCTCTCCCGGTTCTCTGAGGAGCCCAGAGCTTCAGTTGGGGTTAGCCGTTTGTGTTCTTTGAGGTACTGAGGTAAGTGAACCCCAATTCACTCCCGTGACCCCTTCCCCCTACCCCATCAGCCCTGATTTAGGTCCCCTCTCAGAAGATTACTCAGACTTGTAGCAAAGTTACATCTCAGGGAGCCACGCTAAGATAGTCTTGGAAGAGGCCAAAGGAGGGACTGGACTAGGGAGCTCAGGAGTATCTGAGGGGTCTGCACGGGCCCCCGGTGCTCAGCCTAGTTAAAATTTGACTCCATCCTTGTTAGAGAAGACTTCAGAGGCCTCTGGGGTAGTGGTTCAGCTTTGTCTATGGAAGACAAATGATGGTCGTTCAGAGCTGAGGAACCACAGTCTTTCCATGACTGTCTGCCTCCACCAGCTGCCTTCTCCTGAGTTCCCCTACTTTGTCACATAGAATGCCCAGATGTCGGTTTTATAGCTGTCACATTTGTTTGTTCTTTAGAGCACATGTCTGGGTTTATGTATTTGGAAGAACACTGCTTGTCTTAGGGTTTTCATTGCTGCGACAAAACACCATGATCAAAAAGCAAGTTGGGAAGGAAAGAGCTTATTTGGCTTATACTTCCATATCACTATACATCATTGAAGATGGTCAGGACAGGAACTCAAACTGGGCATGAACCTGGAGGCAGGAGCTGATGCAGAGGCCATGGAGGGCACTGCTTACAGGCTTGCTCATCATAGCTTGCTCAGCCTGATTCCCTCCCTCCCTCCCTCTCTCCCTCCTCCTCCAACTCCTTCCTTCCTTCCTTCCTTCCTTCCTTCCTTCCTTCCTTCCTTCCTTCCTTCCTTCCTTCCTTTTCTTTCTGAGACAAAGTTTCTCTGTGTAGTTCTGGCTTTCCTGGAACTCACTCTGTAGATCAGTTGGTCTCAAACTCCACAGAGTTCTGCCTGCCTCTGCCTTCTGAATGCCGGGATTAAAGGCACCACTGCCCAGCTCAGCCTGCTTTTTTATAGAACGCAGGACCACCAGCCCCGGGGTGGCACCATCCACAATAGGCTGGGACCTCCCCCATCAATTACTATATAGGAAAATGTCCTACAGCTGGATCTTATAGAGGCATTTTCTCAACTGAGGTTCTCTTTTTGTGGATAACTCTAGTTTGTGTCAAGTTGACACAAGACTAGCCAGCACACCACTCTTTGGTCCAGCAAGTCCCATGAGAACTCCATGTCTCCAAAAGATGCACAGGAGAATATTAATAGCATTATTGTGATAGCCCTCCGTGAGAATAGTCCGTGTAATCATATGCAATAGAAAAAGAGATTTTATAGTTACCTTGTGCGTCATGTAGTGGTGAGAAGAGATAAGCTGCATTATAAGCAGCCAGACCACTGTTATGATAATGTTAAATAAATGCACCAGTTGCTGAAGAGCACACTGTGTATGATTTCAAACCAGAGGAACTTATATGTAGCATTAAAGGTCAGGTTGGTGGTCACCTGTGTGGCTGGGAGTGGCAAATTGGAGGCTAAAAGAGGGTCTGGCATATTGGTAATATTGATTTTTTTTTATCTGGGAGCTAGCTACACAGATATGCTTGGCTTAGGTTATGAAAACTCATGTTTCAGTATGAGTGTCACATTTTGATGATGGTGATGATGGCAGAAACTGCTGCTTTTATTTAATGCAAAATGGTTTGTATTTGATCAGGACTTTGGAAATCTGAAATGGCCAAATTACTTCAATCTCCATCCAAGTTCCTTCCTGAGGAGTGGTATATTGCTAACAAAAGACAGTACCACAGGGCAGCTACCCAAAGGTCCCAGTCTGAACGACTGGTGTCAGAAAGCCAGAGGCTTGTGGATGAAATCGAGAAGTCCACTAGGAAGTCTCAGAGCGATGTGAACAAGAAACTCGGTAAGATGTGCTTATTATGCTTGTGACCTCCTCCTGATGAGGCTATTGGGGGCTATCTATAGTGCCATATTTTCTGTGGCAACGTACCATTCTAGAAGTATGGGAGTGGGCAGAAATGTTGATCCTGCAGGTTCTGTTTGTTTAAGAATAGTGCTATAAGACAGACACAATAACACCATCTGATTTTCAGCCATCTATCACTCATTCTCCAATTTGGTTCCCATCCATTGATAGCATGTATAGACCACACATGAGCAGGCTTTATGCTTTCATGGGTTCCCACCTTGAAAGGAGAAAAGATACAAAAGTCATTTATCAACATAGAGCCAGGTAGGTGCTGAGTGAGGAAAGCTAAGCTGGGCGTGGGGCAGGCACTGGATGTCCCTTAAGATAAACATTTTAGCTGGGTCTTTCATAAAGAACAATTCACTCTTAACAATCGCAGGCTGAGAAATAGCCTGGTGATCTAAGATAAAACAATTAACTTAAAAAGTAGATAGTAACCAGCCAAACATTTAAAAACTTTCAAATAATTTTCACTCTGTAGACTGGGCTGGCCTTGACCTCACAGTGATCCTGGTGCCTCAGCCTTCTGAGTCCTGGGATTATAAGAGAGAACTAAAGTTTCTTCTCCTACCAGAAGGGAAGAAAAAAAGAAATGAAAAGTGCCAAGTATTGGGGAGGAAGTGGAGCAGTGAGTGCCACATTAGAACCCTTGCCACTGGTGGAAGGATTGATTGGTACAACTTTAGACAGCGGTGGAGGCACCTACCAAAGCTGGGTGTGTATGACCTTTCACACTGCTGCTACACTTTTATCTATGAAACCTAGTGTCTACTTACTAAAAATCTATGCTGCAGGCTTTATCAATAATAAGGTGGGTAAATAGTACCTCCCTTATGCGTCAAAGAGGCTGGCAGATCTGCAGCTTGATACAACACCACAGAAGAATCTCACAAACTCAGGAAGATGTTGACAAACAAACAAAAAACAAGAAATGAGCACATACCATATTATTTCATTTTTATAAATTAAAGAAAAATTAATTTATACTATGAGAACTCAACAATGGTGTGTGAGAAAATGTGGATTGGAAAGAGCCAAGTGGGACCTTTCTGGATGCTCTTAATATTGTTTCCTGAGTCAGGGATTCAGTCCTTAGAAGTCTCAATCATTACACTTTGTTATATGTATAATTTTCTAAAGATACATTTTCAATAAAAAGGTAAAATAAAACTTAAAAGTTTCTGTGCTGTCCTTGGTGGTGTGTATATATCAGGCTGATATCCGTCCTTGCAGGGTTTCCATTTGTGTGTCCAACACATAAAAACTTGGGATGTGTTTGATCCATAAAACACCATCAGACTGGAGGACAGACAAAACACTTAGACCATTAGCGACACTCAACTTTCTAATCCATGGGGCACTTAGTCTTTATCCCTTTTGGCCTTTCTTAAGGACAGGAAGCCGTGGTGTGCATCTCATCTGGTCCATTTGCTTTCTTTCTGGCTGTTTTTTCCCCCTTTCTTATTGTTGACCCTTCTCTTTCCATTCATCTGGGACTCTTGACTGTTTTGCTCTTGGCTCTGTTAGCCTTTTCTTCTCTTTCCTTTCTTTCTTTTTGACAGATTTATTTTTTTATTGTTTTATTGTCTGAGTGAGTTTATGTACACCAAGTGTGTGGAAGAACCCACAGAGGCCAGAAGAGGGCGCCAGATCCCCCAGATCTTGAGTAACAAACAGTTGTGAGTTACATTTTAAGTCCTGGGAATGAACACAGGTGTAGGCTTTCCTGCTCTGACAAAAAGGTATTCTGGGACCCAGGAGCTCAGGAAGCACACAGCTCTGAGGAAATGTATCCCAGTGGAGGGCCACCCTGAGACATGGGAGCCCAGACACCACACAGCTCTGAGAGGAAGCCTCCTCAGCAGAGGCCTTGCAGCTCCTGCGGGAGGATATCCCCAGCAGAGCAGAGGAGCTCAGGAGCATCAGCCCTGATCCACTTATTTGCTTCTTCTCTTCATTGCTTCTTGGCTACCTTTGAAGAGAGAATCACACCAGATAGCAAATCTTATAAAAGAGATTTATTGAGAAATATGAACCCAGGGTGTGGAAGGATGAATCCAGAGTTGCTGTCTTTTCTCCCAGTAGAAGACAACAGGGAACTAAGCAGACACAGCCTTTACAGAGTTTATTGTGTGTGTGCTGTCGGGGGGGGGGGGGTGTTTACCTGGTCACAGCAGGAGGAGAAAGGGCCCCATGAAAGATGTTTCTGGAAGAGAAATGTCATCAGTTGATTGACAGGATACTTGTCAGAAAGATTGAGAAAGCATTAGTAATTAATACAAATAAAGTGAACAGGTTACCTTAAAATTTATTTTTATTTCATGTGTGTATATGTGTCTGTATATGTGCATGTGGAGACCAGAAGAGGACATCAGACCCTCAGAACTGGAGCTACAGGCGGTTTTGAGCCACCTAACTTGGGTTCTGGGAGCTGAAACCTGTTTCTTTGCTAGAGCACAGCACTGAGTTATCTCTGCAGCCCCTGAAGTGGTTGCTATAGTAACCTTCTTGCTATCTGTATGTTTCCTATAACTTAGATATACTTAGATATATTTCTTCTCCAAGAAATAAAGTATTTGGGCTGGAGAGATGGCTTGTGTAAGACTGCTTGCCATGCAAGCATGAGGACATGAGTTCAGACCCCCAGGACCCACATAAAAAGACAAAGCAATGTGAGGAGCAAGGAAAGGAGAACTGTTAGGGCTTGCTGCCCACCAGGTTCAGTAAGAGAGCCTGTCTCAAAGCAATAAGGCAGAGAGTAATAGAGCAGGATACTGCTCCACCTTCCTCCAGTTTCTGTGTATGCATAACACCCCCCCCCCCCCCCACACACACACAGGAGCATATACACAGCCCGGTACAACATACACAGTCATACACATGTTATGTTATTTTAGGGAGAGGAAATTGATAATTACACAATACCTCATAAATTTAGGATTCAAATGTGAAGCTACACATTCTGAATCCATTAGCTTTCATTACCGTTTGCTTTATAATCAGCCATCTTTTACTTGTACTACTTAATCAACTTGCCTTTAGTCAGGTGTGGTGGCCTATCTGATAAGCCAAGTACCTGAGAGGCTGAGGTGTGAGGACTGAAAATTCAAGGCCCAGAGCCCAGAGTTGGTGGCGCACACCTTTAATCCCAGCACTTGGGAGGCAGAGGCAGGTGGATCTCTGTGAGTTTGAGACCAGCCTAGTCTACATAGCGAGTTCCAAGACAGCCAGGGCTACACAGAGAAACCCTGTCTCAAAAACAACAAAATAATAAAATAAAATAAAAAAGGAAATTAAAATCCAGCCTGAATTATAGAGAAAGATACTACCTAAACAAACAAACAAACACACAAACAAACTTACTTCTTTGGCCTATCATAAAAATGAATATGAAGCAATGATGTGATTATAATCATATCAAAAAAGAAAGTTAAGCAAGAAGTTTATTATAATATGCTACTGGACTCAAGTGTAAATAATGTTATATATTAAAAAAATGTAAGTAAAATGTTGATATACATATATTGGGAGATGGGAGGACCAGAAGGCTGTTGTTTGAGTTGGCTAAAAGCAATCCTGGAGTGGAGGACACAGCTCAGCATTAGAGAGCCTGCCTACTGTACTCAAGGGCTTAGGTTCAATCCTTAGCCCTGAAAAAAAAATGCAAATTGTCATACTTCATCATGGCATTAAATTGATGATAAATGGATACTAATAAGAGCAAATGCCAGAAAAAAAGAGTGAAAGTGTTGAAATTGTTGCTCCAAGAGGAGGCGATGGTAGGAGAGAGTCAGACACTCACCAGACTGTGTGAGGCTGTTTGACTTTCAAAACAACACACACTTAGAGCTTTGATACAATTTAAAAGTTACAAGATTAGTGTGATAGCCCAGTAGTTCAGAGTGCATACTGCTCTTTCAGAGAGCCCAAGTTCAGTTCCTAGAACCATGCCAGGTAGTTCCTAACAACCTACAACTCCGGCTCTGGAGGGATCAGACCCCTCTGACCTCTTCGGGCACCTGAACTCAAGTGCACAGAAACACATAGACACACATGCAAACACACACTCACAAAACCACAATTAAAATATTATAATAAATCTTAAAAAAATTAAAGAGTTATCAGCCAGGTGGTGCATACCTGTAATTCTAGCACTCAGGCTGAGACAAGAGGAAAGTTTAAAGCCATCTTGGGCTACAGAGCAAGACTGCATCATAGATAGATAGATAGATAGATAGATAGATAGATAGATAGATAGATAGATA